CATAACGCCAATGGCTTACCTGGCAGGATCTCATCCGTCAGGTCGGCCTTGATTAGCGTGACTAGCGACTGTAGCCACTCGAGGCACCTGCGGTTCCGCTCTCCTCGCTCCAGCGGGTACTCGTCGGGGGTGAAGAGCCTAGCGCCGGACATCCCGTTGAGGTCGCCGAGCCGGTGCTCCAGTTGGCGCACGATCACCTCGGCGAACTCCGTGCAAACCGCCACGCAGTCATCGTGGGTGCCTGGCCCTTTGAACTCCTCCAGCTCGTCCTCGTGCAGCACGAATTTGAAGCGTGCTGGTCGGCCGTCGGAATCGATCCCTTCAATCTTCACCTCCTGGTTTCCTCCAGGCCCATGGCGCGCGATGAACGGGGACAGCAGCTCGCTGACGCCGCCACCGAAGTCGTCTGACTGAATGTAATAATACTTGAAGCTGGAATAAGCATAAACACTTAACATCTTGTAGCAGGAGTTAAGAGCATACCTCCTTGTGCTGGAAGGCCCTGTTGAGTATGTTCAGCTGCTCAAGCACATCTGCAATGAAAAACAGGAGGAAGTGAAACCTATAGCTCGTCACCAGCGCATAGAGCGTCGCGTCCCACTCCTTCAACATCACGATAAGAGCCGGAAGTACGGCAACGAGCCTGAGCACTGCGTCGCCCCGCGACAGCCAACGGACTGCATGGATCCCTTGCAGCTCCAGTGAGGTGGAGGTGAAGACTTCCTGCAGCCCCATGAAGCGCTGATGCCATGGCCCACTGCGACCGAGATGCTCAGCCACGGTGCGGAACACCATGTCAATGACGTTGAAGGCGGGAATCTTCTCTGCGGCTGTTTTAGCCGCCAGTGCCTCCCTGTAAAAGCAAAACTCGAAACATTAGTCACTCGTAGACGTTTAAAAACTCCATACAACCCTCTGCACCTACAGGCATACCTGTGCGCGATGCAGTGGGATGACACCAAATGGGGGATGCGCACACGGAGGCGTGTCGTGAGGCCGCTCTTGCTGCCCATCATGACGTTCGCGTCGGTGCCGATGCCAGCAATGCGCTGCAGGTCGACCCCGACTGCCTGCAGGTGTGATAGCAGAACGCCCAAGAGAGAAGCGGCGTCGGCCTTCTCCACGGTGAGTAGCGCCATGAACTCCGAGATGACCTTGAAGTCACGGATGAAGGTGATGAACAGGATCATGTGTTTCCCGCTGCACCTATCCGTGCTTTCGTCAATCGAGATGCCGACAAAGGGCGATGACAGCACATGTTGCAGCTGGGTTGTCTGCAGCCATGTAGCTGTAGCTTGCGTCAGCTCACCGAAGCCGTATCTGCACATGGAATCACGAGTCAGAAGCAAGAACAGTTAGTACGTTATTAAACGTCGGTGTTTAAAAAAGATGCGTACGGCAGTTGTACTCACGTGGTGTAGTAGGTGCCGTACCCTCTCTTCGGAAAGCCTGGCATGCCCCTCTCCGACAAGTACCGCACCAGTTTCACCCACATCCCCATGGGCGCGTCGGACCTGCTGATGAACAGCAATGAGTCGAGAAGGGCGACGGTCCGCATCTTCTCACCGTCAACCGCGGCGCGATGTTGGTCGATCTGTGGCTGCCTTGCACCGCACTCCGCTTCAGCTATCTGTCTCGCAACCGCAAGCTTGTGCTTCGCCGTGCCAGCGTGTTTACGGAAAGACTGTGTCTGTAGGTTGGTGGCGCCTCTCCCGCGCCTCCCGCACTTTCCTGCGTCGCCAGCATAGGCTGCACAAACAGCACACTTGAACGCAGGCATGCCGGTAGTGGTTTTAGTGATCCTGAGCCACGGAAAACGAGTAGACCACTGATTTTTTAACTTCTCAATCGCGTCGTCATAAACTCCCTCGATGAGCTCGGCCAGATTCAGTGTGAGGCGAGGTCGCGGTCGGTCGGATGTTCTGGGAGCGTTGTTGACGTTGGCAGTCGACGACGCAGATTTGCGAAGGTCAAGGTCGCCTGCTTGAGACGGATCGTGCGCGCCGTGGTCTGAGTCGGAATCTGCGACTGTGAAGCGACAGTGGGTTCCGCAGATGTCTCTGCCACACGGTCGGGAGAAAGTGAGATAACTGGAGTCGCAGGTGCCTTCTGTGTGGAGATCGTATCGGGCGTGGCGCGTACTGCCTTATCGAGATCTAGTGTACTAAGCAAGAAGTCTAAGCCTGTTAAGGCGGGCCGCTCATCAGGGTCATCGTCGCCCGCGGCAGGATTGTCCAGCACCGCCATGGCGGGGATGTGAAAGAGCCTGCCGAGCAGGAACTAGACTAGAGAGATGATGGCTGAGGCAAAACTGGGCACTGGCTTGGGCCCGTGAGTTGAAGCTGAGGGGTGTGGATGAAACCCTAGCACAAACACGAAAGCCTTTTACCAAGATGGGCCATCATTGAGCTGTGTGTCAAACAATATGTTTAATATATACCCTGCGTGCTGTAGTTACTGTAGTTATTATTATTAAGAGTTGGTGGTGCACCTTCTTTGTTGCTTTGCTATATGTACCTTGTGTGCTATAGTGAAACCCCTCTTTCCTTGCCTAAACTCTCTCGACACTTTCTCCTCTTCACCCTAGCATGGCTCCTCACCTCTAGCTACTATCTTGACATGGTACAGAGCTGGTTCTTTCCCGGAACCTTCTCTTTTTTTTTAAGAATCATGGGCCCGCCCGTACTACAGCGCGAAATGCGCTATTTTTTTTTTTTCTCCCCGTTCGCCCGTCACGCGCGCCCTGCCCGTCCCCCCGAACGTGCCACGTCGGCTGCCTCGCGGACGCCCCGTCGGCTGCCTCGCGGACGCCCCGTCGGCTGCCTCGCGGACGCCCCGTCGGCTGCCCCGCGGACGCCCTGCCCGTCGCCCGCTGCCCCCCCGTTTCGTCGCCACGCGGCCCCCATTTCGTCGCCACGCGGCCCCCGTTTCGTCGCCCCCGTCACCCCGCAATCCGCCAGCGCGGAGGCCAGCGCCGCGGCCAGCCGCCAGCGCCAGCAGCAGCTACCGCCGCCCCCCCCCCCCCCCGCCCTCCCTTCCGCGGCTTCCGTCGTGGGGAGGGGGGAGGGAGGGGGAAGGGGTTGTGGGGGGGGGGCGGGTGTGAGGAGCCTGCCACTCCTCCCTCCCTTCCCTCTTCCTCTCTCCCTGCAGCAACTGTTGCTGTAGGGGGGGGGGGAGAGAAGTGCAGAAGGGTGAGGGGGTGGCGGGAGAAGACAGGTGCGGCGGGTGTGAGGAGCCTGCCACTCCTCCCTCCCTTCCCTCTTCCTCTCTCCCTGCAGCAACTGTTGCTGTAGGGGGGGGGGGGGAGAGAAGTGCAGAAGGGTGAGGGGGTGGCGGGAGAAGACAGGTGCGGAAGGTGTGAGGTTGCCGGGGTTGAGTGACGAGGGGGGTGAGGACTAGGGGGTTCTTAACGGGGGGGGATCGCATTGAGCGTGCGCGCTCATGCCCGCCTAGCCCACCTCCTCTCCTCATCGGGACTTGGGGGTTCTTAACGGGGGGGGATCGCTATGAGCTTTCGCGCTCAAGCCCGCCTAGCCCACCTCCTCTCCCTTCCCTCTCTCACCTCCCCTTTGTAAAAGGAGGTTCGTAAGCGGGTCCGCCGGTCCTGGCCCCCCACCTCCTCTCCTCTCCTCTCCCCTCCTCTCCTCTCCTCTCCTCTCCTCTCCTCTCCTCTCCTCTCCTCTCCTCTTCTCTCCTCTCCTCTCACCTTCCTCACTTCTCTGCCTTCTTCCACAGCGCTTGGTTTGCTCGTTCAGGGGGTGCTGGCTGCACCAGTTTCTACTGCACGCAGGCTAAGGGGGTGTGTCAAACAATATGTTTAATATATACCCTGCGTGCTGTAGTTACTGTAGTTATTATTATTAAGAGTTGGTGGTGCACCTTCTTTGTTGCTTTGCTATATGTACCTTGTGTGCTATAGTGAAACCCCTCTTTCCTTGCCTAAACTCTCTCGACACTTTCTCCTCTTCACCCTAGCATGGCTCCTCACCTCTAGCTACTATCTTGACACTGTGTGGGTGGGTGGTTGCCTAGCATGCACGGCAACGACGAGGCGCATCGATGCAGTGTGTGGTGTGGATGTTGCAGCATCGTTGTACAAGATGCTGCCAAAAGGACCAATCCAATGCTTGGGGTGGGTCTTGTTGGCACCGTCTGCTTGCCATCACGTTTACGTGGGTGGCAACTGCTGCAGCATCTTGTACAAGGGTGGTAGTGGAGTTCTTGACGGTGGACAAAAGATGCCAAACGCACCAATGAGTGCGCAGGGAGGGTGTGAGCTGGAGCCAACACTGAGGGAAACAACGCGCCACAGGGCGGGTGAAACATCCAGCTGTACGAGGGAAACATCGGGCCGCACGGCGGCGGTACAGGTACAATGTATGTACCACAGCTAATCCTGGGTGTCGGCGCGCAGGTAGATTTAATCAGAGTCGGAACTCGATTGTACTCTGAATTCATCAGAGTACACTCCCGAAAAACTCTGAGACGTCAGAGTCAGCCTATAAAAAAATCTGATTTTCAGAGTTGAGGCAATACAAACTCTGAATTTTACAGAGTATACCTAAAAAAAATCTGAAATCTCAGACTAAAACAAGCAAATCAGACAAAAAACTCTGACTTCTGGGGGCCTGGTTCCTACGGCCCCTTATCAGGCCAACCTCTTATCAAGCTCGCTACTTTTACCACTGAAAATTCCCTAAACCCAAAAACCCTCGCTACTTTTACCAGGCAAGGTTGACAAGAGGTTTGCCTAATAAGAGCGTAGGAACATGCCCTTAGTATAAGCGCATCTGCACCTTTTGAGGTGATTATGGTAGAATCGCGATAGTGAGAATCCTTTCCTTTTTGTTACTGCACTCTGTAGGCATGCCCGTATACAATAATCTATACAATGATCTATATACACATAAAGGAATGGATGATAAGCCTTCATGAAGTAAATAATAGACACGCGAACCAGGCTAGCTAGTGATGCAGACAATGTAACTGTGTGATTGGGGTTACAACCCATTAAGTGTTGATAAAACCTGCAGCAGCAGTCCCTCATTGAGTGGCTTCTGCACAGCACCATCCATGCCAGCCTCTGTGGCACGGGCGACAACACTGCTGTCCACATCTGCTGACATGGCCACCACATGAACGCACCGATGCTGGCGCCAGCTCTCTGCTCCACTCTCCCCCACCGCTGACATGCTCTGCACGCCTTGGGCTCCCTGTCCCCCCTGCACGGCCCCGCCCCCCTGCTCTCCCTCTTCCCCCTGGCCCCCCCGCACCGCCGCCTCGGCTGTCTGAGCGGCAGCCTCGAATGCGCGCAGGCGGGCGGTGGTCTGAAAGCCGTCAAGGCCGGGCATGTGGAGGTCCATGAGCACGAGGCGGAAGGAGTGGCACGCCTGCAGCAGGCGCAGTGCCGCCTCGCCCGACTCTGCCAGCGCCACCTCCGCCCCGTACCGCGCCAGCGTGCTCGCCGCCACCCGCCGGTTGATCAAGTTGTCGTCCACCACCTGGTGCATGGGGTGGGGTGCAGGGGGGTTGAGAGGGGTGAGAACAGAGGGATGGTTGATGGCGTTGTCGTCCACCACCTGTGTGAGGGAGAGGCATGCAGGCGGGTGCAGCGAGATGAAACTGGAGGGATGGTTCACCAAGTTGTCGTCCACCACCTGGTGGAGCACAGGGGGGGCGAAATGAATGGACGGAAATGGCGTTACCCGCCGCTGCCACCCGCCGGTTCACCAAGTTGTCGTCCACCACCTGTGTGAGGGAGAGGCATGCAGGCGGGTGCAGCGAGATGAAACTGGAGGGATGGGTTCACCAAGTTGTCGTCCACAACCTAAGAAGCACAGGGGGGGCGAAATGAATGGACGGAAATGGCGTTACCCGCCAGCGTGCTCGCCGGCGGGTATAAGAACGGAGGGACGGTTGACCAAGTTGTCGTCCACCACCTAAGAAGCACAGGGGGGGTGAAATGGATGGACGGAGATGGCGTTACCAGTCGCTGCCACCCGCCAGTTCACCAAGTTGTCGTCCACCACCTGGTGGAGAGAGAGAGAGTACAGGGGGGTTGGGAGGTACAAAGGGGTACAAGGCGGTTCACCAAGTTGTCGTCCACCACCTGGTGGAGAGGAGAGTACAGGGGGGTTGGGAGGTACAAAGGGGTACAAGGCGGTTCACCAAGTTGTCGTCCACCACCTGGTGGAGAGAGAGAGTACAGGGGGGTTGGGAGGTACAAAGGGGTATAAGGCGGTTCACCAAGTTGTCGTCCACCACCTGGGCAGTGCAGGGGGGTAGAAGGGGGTGGTGAGGGGGTGATAACGGAGGGACGGTTGATCAAGTCGTCGTCCACGACCTGCGCAGTGCAGGGAGGATAGGAGGGGTGCAGAGGGGATGGGAACAGTTGATGGCGTTGTCATCTACAACCTGGCCAGCACACGGGGTACGTCCGATCAGAGACCCGACTTGGATGAGAACGGAAGGACGGAAATGGCATGCCACCCGCTGGTTGATGGCGTTGCTGTCCACCAACTGCACGTGGAGGGCGAGGGGCATGTGAAAGGCAGGGGGAGGGGTTTGAGGGGATGAGAACAAATGTTACTCGGCGCTTGATGACATTGTCTTCCGCAAGGGAGTTGGAAAAGGCGAGGTTGAGAACATGAGGGCTGCATCTTATCGTTTACCACATGGAAACGAGGAGCAAGGGGTATACAGGGGGGGAGGAGAGGGGATGAAGACGGATAGACGGTGATGGCATGCTCTTATCACTCTGTCGTCCACCACCTGGGAGCAACCACCAGCTGGGGGGGAGAAAGAGAGGGGGTGACGCACACAGGGATGGTTGGAGAGGAGTAGGAAGATAAGAACACACATATTTTCTTTAGCCGTGTGAGAGAAGAACGGGAAAGGAGAGGCTGATCACATTGCTGTCCCGGCCACCAACAGGACAAGGAGAGGGCGGGGTGGGTTGTGGGAGTGTGGTGAGGCCAGGAGAGCGGAGGGCGGGTTGTGAGTAGTGTGGTGAGGAGAGGACAGGTTGGGCTGTGGAAGTGAGGTGGGTAGCAACAAACAGCAAGAAACCCAAGTGTTCCGACTACGCTAGTCAGAATAAGTAGATGGAGAATCAACGATCTGCAGCAAACCCCACAAACACACGAGATTCCGTCGTTGGTACGGAACACACTGTCCTGCATCTCACCAGAATCGACTTTCCCTGCAGCAGCTCCTTCAAACTATCTCTCGCACTCTTCGTCTCCACTGCCCTCGGCACAGCTGTGACATCGGCAGCAGCAGCAGAAGAAGAAGCAGCACAAGTCGTCGCCGGCCCAGGAATATCCGTGCGGTCTGGAGTAGAGATGCCACACACAGCAGCAGCGGCAGTGGCAGCAGCAACAGGCATGGGCAGAGCGACATGCAGGGTGGTGCCGTGACCCTCTGTGCTGATCAACCCAATGCTGCCGCCCATGAGCGATACCTGACACGAGGAGGAGGCGAGGGGAGGAGGTGTGGAAATGGAGTGACATGAGGACGAGTGTAAATGACTGTGCTCCACGAGTTAATACTTGCAGAGCATGCATAGAAAGAGGAAGAGAGAGTTTTGAAGGTCTGGGTGATTACCTGGTTGAATTGTCAATAAGACATGGCAACTGTCAGCAAGACATGGCAACCGTCAGCAAGACATGGCAACCGTCAGCAAGACATGGCAACCGTCAGTAAGACATGGCAAGTGACGAGATTGACTCACCAGCTGCCGGCACAAGTGCAGGCTCATGCCACTGCCTCCATGCACGCGGGTCTGATGGGATGGGTGGCGTGGGAAGCAAAGAACGGGAGATTCAGTGTGTTGGGAAACTAGCGCGAAAATGGATGGCAGCCATTTTAAGCTGATAACAGTGCGACTCTTTAGTGTGCCTGCTTGAACAATAAATGCCGATTCTTAACAAAATCACCAATTCATGTGCAAGGCTCGACATCAGGTGCATGGCATGGCATGAGGTGGGTTGACTTAGGAGCTCAGTTCACTTGCATGAACTCCTTAGTGCACAAAACACATACTCTGAGCATACCTGCATGAGGGGCAGGGCTCACCTGCATGAACGCCTGAAACACGTCGCGCTGCTCCTCCTCTGCGATGCCACACCCCGTGTCCTCACATGTCAGCAGCATCACACACCGCCTGCCACCTCCCCCCTCCACTGCCCTGCCCTCCTCCCTGCCCCACCAGCGCCACCACCTCTCCACTGCTCCATTCCACCAGCCCACACCACCACCCCCTAGTGCTCTCCTCCTTGCTTCACTTGCAATATCCTCCCCACGCGCTCTTGTTCCATGTACAACCGCACATGACCCCACTCCATTACGCCCACCCTCCTCCTCATCCCCCGCACCCAATGATGCAGCACCACCCCTGCCTTCACTCAACTCACTGCACACCCTCTCGCTTCCGCTTCCGCCTCCTACCACCATCGTCAACCGCGCTGCACCGTTCTCCAACCCATGCTGGAGAGGGATCACGGGTGCCCCTCTGACTCCACACACCACATCGCCCACTTCTGCTCCTCCATCTTCAGCACCCAACACTGCCCTCTCGCTTCTCCCATCTTCCCCCCTTCCCTGATTCGCATCACTCTGTCCCCAAACACCTACCCTCTCCTCCGCCTCCCTCTCCTTCCCCTCCTCCCTCTCCTTCCCCTCCCTCTCCTTCCCCTCCTCCCTCTCCCCCCTCTCCTCGCACTCCTCCTGCTCCGCCTCCCCCTCCTGCACGGGGGGCATGCGCCAGTAGCACCCAAGGCACTGCGCGGACAAGCTTCTCTTGACCGCACGTTTATTGCATGCGCCTGTCACCGCCCTCACCAGCCCTCGCTGCCCCATCTGCTCCCAAAACAACATCCTAAGCGGCGGCTCTCCCACTCCGTTCCGATGCACAGTCGCACTGGCAGCAACAGCAGTGGCAGCAACAGCAGTGGTAGCAACAGCATCAGCAGCAGCGACAGGCGAGGAGCAGGCGGGGGTGGCTTCAGCAACGAGGCAGCCGAGGGAGAGCAGGTGGGTGGGGATGTGGGTGTCGGGGGGAAGGCACTGCAGCCGCACACACACGCTCCCGCTGGCCGTGAATTTTATGGCGTTGTCTGGGGGGTGAAGCAACACGCAGAGGGATGAGAAGGTTTGAGTGAGTGCACGACAGTGACTGTGCATATGAGGGATGACGTTGTCTTGTGGGAGAACATCAACACAAGCACAGCTTGTCAGCTCACAGAGGCGCAATGCAATCGCGAGAGAGCCCGTTTCGACCAACAGGAAGAAAAAACACAGACTTCAGGAATCCTCTCGTCCCGGCTACAACGTACGAGACTCGAGGGAATACATCATCAGCCCGCCAACTCATCAGCCTTAGCTTTGATTCGACCTATGCTCATGCTTAGTGCGCAACTGCTGTTTGAATGACGAATGTGTGAATTGAACAAGAACAAGCTGCAAGTGATTCGTGCCCGGTCTCTTGCAGCCGAGGATACCCCGTCAGGTAGACAAGTCAACCCCGTCTATCACTTTGGCTTGGGTCAAGGCGAGGTCAACTTTACTCGACAAGAGGGTATCCTGCATGGGTGGCATTAGCGGCGAGCCCAAAGTGAAAGGCTCCATGCCGCACCGCCGAGCCAACTCAAGCCGATTCGAGTGCTTCATTGCGGTTGCAGCTCAGGTCCACCAAGTGGTGAGTGGGAGCTGACTTGGTGAGTCAGGGAGCGGAATGGAGGGCAACTCTGGGTGAATCACGTCCTCCTTTCTGTAACGTGATTCGCCAACATTTGCAGCTCCAGCATTCCGCGCCTCCTTTGGCCACAGATCTGCAACCCTATCGTTTCGCGCTCACCCTGTCCCTTGATTCAGATCCGCAGCCGCGCCCATGGTTAGTGCGCTGGTTGCGAAAGTTTTGCTACATAAACGGCTTTCTAAAAAAAAAAAATGCGCGCGTAGGATCGATTTATTGCAGCAGTCTAATTTCGGTGCAATATTTGCACTATGTTGTCTAATTTTACTGCAAATATTACACCAAAATTAAACTACTGCAACAAATTGATCCTACATGCACAAACATTTTTTTAGAAAGTTGTTTCTGTAGCAAAACTCTCACAACCAGCGCACAAACCATGTGCCATGGCGGGGCGCGTGATGGCGAGGCTGCGGATCTGAATCAAGAAACAGGGAGGGCGCGAAACGAAAGGGTTGCAGGTCTGTGACCAAAGGAGGCGCAGAATGTTGGAGCTGCAGACGTCGGCGAATCACGTCACAAAATGGAGGCAAACTGTCGAGCTGGGTGAGGGTTACATGTGACTTGACTCAACTCCACGAGAGGCCAGCTTGACTCAACTCGCCTCGTGCTCAGGTGTAACCAGGCCCATCCAACCTCACCGCCAGTCAATGAATTCAACTCATTTACTCACCGACTATTCTTTCGACCACTTGCTGCAGGCGCATGTAGTCCCCCACCAGCACACTGGGCACATCCCCATCCACATGCCATGTGACTGGGTGGGCACCCACACGTACACGCAGAAAAAGCAAGCACATTTGGTTAGATAAAGAAAACATATAAATCAATGAAACACATTGAAGTGAAACGTGAGGAGAAACAGGTGATCAAGACATGGGGAGAGCAATGAGAGGTTTTACAATTGAGGCCGCGCTCCTGAGCAGCCTGCACGTATGGGTGCAGGACGCCACGCAGCCAAGGGCGGAGGGCAAACGGCAGGCTCTCGAGGTGCAGGCAGCCAGCGTCCGCCTTGCACACATCCAGCACCGCGTTGACGAGAGACAGGATCCGCTCCGCCTCCTCCACTGCTGCCCCCACGTCCCCCCTCTGACCCGACTCCAGCCCCCCCTCGTCCAGCTGCTTCAGCATGCCTGCAGGGTGGTTGGCGTAGCGAGTGGAAATTTGAAGAGATGAATATCTAAATATTTACAGATTATGTTAACATGAGCACAGCACCGTGATTGATTGTGACCGTATGGCTTTGACAGAAAATGCATCTTACTCCACCAAAGGGATCAGGGCCCTCGAAACAAGGTGAAATCGAAAGGAAGCAAGCTCTCTCCTTGACGTTTTGAGACGGCTCTTTCCTGCAGGAAACTCATAGCCACTCATGCACCCATTGCCACGAACCTTCCATGCCATAGATCGGCGTGCGCAGCTCATGCGCGGTGTTGGCAATGAACACACCCTTGTTGCGCTCCGCCACCTCCGCCTTCTCCTTGAGGATCTCCAATGCAGCCGTCTTCTCGCGCAGCCTCCGTGTGTTGATCGTCACGCTCAAGCCAATAGCAGCCAGCAGTGCCGCCACCACCACAATTATCACCCCCAGGAACACAGCTGTCATGTTGCGCGCCTCGTCCGAGCCTTGAAAGCTGGGGGATAGAGGGAGGCGCATTGGGGGCAGAGGGATGCAATGGAACAGAATGGGGATTGATGGCATTGAGCGCAATATGGGCAGAGACTGGCTTTAAGATGCATGAAAGCTGAATGAACTAAAAGTGAAACGAGGAGCCCTTGTCAAAGGGAGACGGCGAGAAAGGGGAAGGGGAGGAGGAGCGGTTATGAAGGAAGAGCAGCGCATTCCTAGAAACGAGCCACCAGCACTGGTGGCTTCGTGATGTGGTGATGCTGTGGGAGGGTTGTGAGAAGGGGAGGGGAGGAGGAGTCGCTCTGAGGCGAGAGAAGTGAAAACTTGATTTTTGAAACGGAGAAGCAGACCAAAACATGATTTGGCAGTGCATGCATGGGTGGACGCAACTCACCGGCACCAGAGCTGGTAGGTGCGCGAGGAGTCGGTGAGGTTGATCTGCTGCACTGATTTGTGTCGATGTGGTTGCAGCATTGATTCATTGGACGGCGGAATGAGCTTGGCCACTTGCATGGGGTCGCCTTGAGGCAAGTCACCCACTCCGTACAGCAGGCGAGGACCCAGCGGGGTGGAGGAGTTGGGGAGGATATCCGTGGGGGTGACATCATACACTTCAAGAGAATAGTCCGCGCCTGCAGCAGCACGAGGGGGAGGCTTTGTTTGTTTAGCACAGCGCAGCACGCGTGTGAGCAGAGCAGCACGCAGGCACCTTGCGTTGCACGCAGGCACTTTCACGCAGGCGCAAAGTTTAAAAAAGACCGTGGAAAGGTGGAGACGAATGCGCAAGAGCAACACAAGGAAGGAAGGTGGGCGCCTTTGAGTCTCATCAGTGAAGATTCCCGTGCCCCTCTGATTACCTTGTTGAGTACAGTCAAGTTGCTGAATTGGTGGTCACGCCCCGAACAGAACTGAAAAAAAAATAAATGACAGGTGGTGGTGTTGGTCACGACTGCACAGCTCTCTTGACGAGGCCGGAACAGTTTTTTAATGGTCAGATGGTCTGTTGGTGAGATGGTGAAGTGTTCAACCACACGTTGACGGAGCCACACCTTGTCGAAGCACTTCGAGAATGATGAATCCGGCGAGACGATTGAAGTCCACAGACGCCGCCATCACACCCATGAATGCCGCCTGCCTCTCGGCCCACGGCGAATTTATTGTCACGATGCCTTTGAAGATGGGGAATACCATGGCTGGAGAATGGGGAGCGAAAGCGGGTCCACATGAATTGGACAACCAAAAGCAAGCAAGTGAACTCGAGAGAAGGGGAAGAGGGGGCAATAAGAAAAAAACAACAAAAACAGGAAGAATGAGGGAGGGGCAGGAGTGAGGGAGGGAGAGAGCACAAGGGAGAGACACGTGTGACTGTCAACATACTTGAGACGAACCCACAACTCATACACCTGTGGCAAAACGATATTTGAGTCGACTCAAAATTTGAGATGAGCCCACTCCTCATACCCATGTCCGCACGCTCGCCCATGCTTGGATGGCCATTGCAGAGCACAGAGGGCGTGGATGACTTGCGAGACGTCTCAAAACTCACCCATGCCTGGGTGGCCATTGGAGAGCACATAGGGCGTGGTGAGCATGTTATCGAACGTCTGCTTCACGCGCACCAGCTGCGGTCCGTACGACGGGTGACTCCGGCCATCAAAGCAGTCCAGGGCGCTCTGAATCATGTTGAAGGGGATTTGCCCGTCGAACCAGAAGCGCATGTCCATGTACCAGTCCGCGGGCGGGAGAGGCTTGCCTGTCATGTCCACCAGCACGCACCCCATGCGCCGCTCAAAGGTCGCCCTGGATGAAATGGCGCACACGGGGAGGGGAAACAAAAGGGAGAACTGGATGTTCTAAACTCGAATCCCCACGGCTCCGCGTTGAATCGTGGCCTGAGTGAAGCGGTTTAATACTGTGATGAATCTTGATCGGGTTCAGTTTGACGGGGGCTCAGGAGTCTCGCATCGAACCAGCCAAAGTATTTTTTTCAAAATTTGACCGTAAAATGCCGTATTGTAAGAAACGATCGTAAAAAACAATAAAATACGACTTTTAGAAAATAAAAAATTTTGGGTGGAAAAAACCCATCGTTTTTTTCAGAAAAGGTATAAAACTGCTGCTGTAACAGGGGGATTGTTTTGTGAGTAGAATGAGGGGGCTGTTAGAAGTGCTGCTGATGCACTAGGCGCTTTTTTGTGTTTAACAAAAAAACGTCGTTTTTTTCCCAAAAAGTACCGTAAAGAACAATCTTAAAATACAATCGTATTTTTCGAAAATCGTTTTTCTCCACCTTGGAACCAGCCAGGCGAATCGGTTCGAGCCGGACCGAACCTGGTCTGGTTCGTGCCAAACCAACAGGCCAAAGACAGGACGCAGATCAGTTCAAGGCGAATCAGTAAGCATGAGCACCGGCCCGAGCGACGGCTCTGCTCATCAGCTCAGTTCATCAAGAGATCACACCAAGTCGGTGACTGTGATTAATCCCACTCTGCCGACTTCTCACAAATTGAGCCGATGGCCAATTTGTCAGTTCGCCTGTTAGCAATAGCAAGTCAGCTTCCGGTTCGTCGAGCAGACAATCCGTCGAGGGATCTGGTGGCGGTCAAAATGCCTAGTTTTGAGGCGCCTCAAAACTAGTTTGTCAGTTCGCCTGTTAGCAATAGCAAGAAAGCTTCCGGTTCGTCGAGCTGACAGTCCGTCGAGGAATCTAATGGCGGTCAAAATGCCTAGTTTGGAGGCGCCTCAAGCCAGATTGTCAGTTCGCCTGTTAGCAATAGCAAGTAAGCTTCCGGTTCGTCGAGCTGACAATCCGTCGAGGGATCTGGTGGCGATCAAAATGCCTAGTTTTGAGGCGCCTCAAAACTAGTTCGCCTGTTAGCAATAGCAAGTAAGCTTCCGGTTCGTCGAGCTGACAGTCCGTCGAGGAATCTGGTGGCGGTCAAAATGCCTAGTTCTGAGGCGCCTCAAAACTAGTTTGTCAGTTCGTTTATTAGCAATAGCAAGTCAGCTTCCGGTTCGTCGAGCTGACAGTCCGTCGAGGGATCTGGTGGCTGTCAAAATGCCTAGTTTTGAGGCGCATCAAAACTAGATTGTCAGTTCGCCTGTTAGCAATAGCAAGTCAGCTTCCGGTTCGTCGAGCTGACAGTCCGTCGAAGGATCTGGAGGCGGTCAAAATGCCTAGTTTTGAGGCGCCTCAAAACTAGATTGTCAGTTCGCCTGTTAGCAATAACAAGTCAGCTTCCAGTTCGTCGAGCTGACAGTCCGTCGAGGAATCTAATGGCGGTCAAAATGCCTAGTTATGAGGCGCCTCAAAACTAGATTGGCAGTTCGCCTGTTAGCAATAGCAAGTCAGCTTCCGGTTCGTCGAGCTGACAGTCCGTCGAGGAATCTAATGGCGGTCAAAATGCCTAGTTTGGAGGCGCCTCAAGCCAGATTGTCAATTCGCCTGTTAGCAATAGCAAGTCAGCTTCCGGTTCGTCGAGCTGACAATCCGTCGAGGGATCTGGTGGCGATCAAAATGCCTAGTTTTGAGGCGCCTCAAAACTAGTTTGTCAGTTCGCCTGTTAGCAATAGCAAGTAAGCTTCCAGTTCGTCGAGCTGACAGTCCGTCGAGGAATCTGGTGGCGGTCAAAATGCCTAGTTCTGAGGTGCCTCAAAAACTAGATTGTCAGTTCGCCTGTTAGCAATAGCAAGTCAGCTTCCGGTTCGTCAAGCTGACAGTCCGTCGAGGGATCTGGTGGCGGTCAAAATGCCTAGTTTTGAGGCGCCTCAAAACTAGATTGTCAGTTCGCCTGTTAGCAATAGCAAGTCAGCTTCCGGTTCGTCGAGCTGACAGTCCGTCGAAGGATCTGGTGGCGGTCAAAATGCCTAGTTTTGAGGCGCCTCAAAACTAGATTGTCAGTTCGCCTGTTAGCAATAACAAGTCAGCTTCCAGTTCGTCGAGCTGACAGTCCGTCGAGGGATCTGGTGGCGGTCAAAATGCCTAGTTATGAGGCGCCTCAAAACTAGATTGGCAGTTCGCCTGTTAGCAATAGCAAGTCAGCTTCCGGTTCGTCGAGCTGACAGTCCGTCGAGGGATCTGGTGGCGGTCAATGCCTAGTTTTGAGGCGCCTCAAAACTAGATTGTCAGTTCGCTTGTTAGCAATAGCAAGTCAGCTTCCGGTTCGTCGAGCTGACAATCCGTCGAGGGATCTGGTGGCGGTCAAAATGCCTAGTTTTGAGGCGCCTCAAAACTAGATTGTCAGTTCGCCTGTTAGCAATAGCAAGTCAGCTTCCGGTTCGTCGAGCTGACAGTCCGTCGAGGAATCTAATGGCGGTCAAAATACCTAGTTATGAGGCGCCTCAAAACTAGATTGGCAGTTCGCCTGTTAGCAATAGCAAGTCAGCTTCCGGTTCGTCGAGCTGACAGTCCGTCGAGGAATCTAATGGCGGTCAAAATGCCTAGCTTGGAGGCGCCTCAAAACTAGATTGTCAGTTCGCCTATTAGCAATAGCAAGTCAGCTTCCAGTTCGTCGAGCTGACAGTCCGTCGAGGGATCTGGTGGCAGTCAAAATGCCTAGCTTTGAGGCGCCTCAAAACTAGTTTGTCAGTTCGCCTGTTAGCAATAGCAAGAAAGCTTCCGGTTCGTCGAGCTGACAGTCCGTCGAGGAATCTAATGGCGGTCAAAATGCCTAGTTTGGAGGCGCCTCAAGCCAGATTGTCAGTTCGCCTGTTAGCAATAGCAAGTCAGCTTCCGGTTCGTCGAGCTGACAATCCGTCGAGGGATCTGGTGGCGATCAAAATGCCTAGTTTTGAGGCGCCTCAAAACTAGTTTGTCAGTTCGCATGTTAGCAATAGCAAGTAAGCTTCCGGTTCGTCGAGCTGACAGTCCGTCGAGGAATCTGGTGGCGGTCAAAATGCCTAGTTTTGAGGCGCCTCAAAACTAGATTGTCAGTTCGCCTGTTAGCAATAGCAAGTCAGCTTCCGGTTCGTCGAGCTGACAGTCCGTCGAAGGATCTGGTGGCGGTCAAAATGCCTAGTTTTGAGGCGCCTCAAAACTAGATTGTCAGTTCGCCTGTTAGCAATAACAAGTCAGCTTCCAGTTCGTCGAGCTGACAGTCCGTCGAGGGATCTGGTGGCGGTCAAAATGCCTAGTTATGAGGCGCCTCAAAACTAGATTGGCAGTTCGCCTGTTAGCAATAGCAAGTCAGCTTCCGGTTCGTCGAGCTGACAGTCCGTCGAGGGATCTGGTGGCGGTCAATGCCTAGTTTTGAGGCGCCTCAAAACTAGATTGTCAGTTCGCTTGTTAGCAATAGCAAGTCAGCTTCCGGTTCGTCGAGCTGACAATCCGTCGAGGGATCTGGTGGCGGTCAAAATGCCTAGTTTTGAGGCGCCTCAAAACTAGATTGTCAGTTCGCCTGTTAGCAATAGCAAGTCAGCGTCCGGTTCGTCGAGCTGACAATCCGTCGAGGAATCTGGTGGCGATCAAAATGCCTAGTTTTGAGGCGCCTCAAAACTAGTTTGTCAGTTCGCCTGTTAGCAATAGCAAGTAAGCTTCCGGATCGTCGAGCTGACAGTCCGTCGAGGAATCTGGTGGCGGTCAAAATGCCTAGTTCTGAGGCGCCTCAAAACTAGATTGTCAGTTCGCCTGTTAGCAATAGCAAGTCAGCTTCCGGTTCGTCGAGCTGACAGTCCGTCGAAGGATCTGGTGGCGGTCAAAATGCCTAGTTTTGAGGCGCCTCAAAACTAGATTGTCAGTTCGCCTGTTAGCAATAACAAGTCAGCTTCCAGTTCGTCGAGCTGACAGTCCGTCGAGGGATCTGGTGGCGGTCAAAATGCCTAGTTATGAGGCGCCTTAAAACTAGATTGGCAGTTCGCCTGTTAGCAATAGCAAGTCAGCTTCCGGTTCGTCGAGCTGACGGTCCGTCGAGGGATCTGGTGGCGGTCAATGCCTAGTTTTGAGGCGCCTCAAAACTAGATTGTCAGTTCGCTTGTTAGCAATAGCAAGTCAGCTTCCGGTTCGTCGAGCTGACAATCCGTCGAGGGATCTGGTGGCGGTCAAAATGCCTAGTTTTGAGGCGCCTCAAAACTAGATTGTCAATTCGCCTGTTAGCAATAACAAGTCAGCTTCCAGTTCGTCGAGC